TAAATTGAGTGATACTCTTATAGCACGTTTCTACTCTGAGTACTCAAAGTGCTTTTTACTACATGCTACCTTCACCCATTCACATGCACAAATTCATACAGTGCTTTTTTCTATGGCTTCAAACGTATTCACACACATACACACACACACACACATCTTGGATTTTGGTATTTTACCTGTATTAGCAGATGGTGGAGTCGTCAACTCTGTCATAACACTTTATAGCAAGGATGTTGGTTCAAATCGTGGCTGGGGGTTCCCACCTAAGAAAAAGTTAAATGAAACACAAATGTTGGCGTGTCATAAATCATTTCCATCTGTTCTGATTAACAGGCTTGAAGAACAAGACTTGGAACGAAGATTCGAGCTGTTAAACAAGGAGCTGAGGGACATGATGGCAATTGACGGTATGACTTCCTAACAGTCGGTATTAAACTGTTTCGTGTTCCCATAGTGTCATTAAAACCTTGATTAGGTTTAGTTTAGCTCCTGAGATGCGTCAGCAGAGCTAAGAAACGGGAACTGACACCCTCTGTTTAAAAGCAACACCCTACTCAGAGATCAGCTGCTATTTGGTCGCTGCGTACATGTAACTATACGTAACTACATACAGGCTTAACCACCGACTTAGCCTGTCAGTAAACTGTTTCTTTCAATCCTCACTTGGCAGGAGGAAATGTTTTCACTGCCCACCTCAACAAAACCGTAGTTTTCATTTTAAATCACATCAAACTCATTAACATGAATTTCGTCAGTAACTTTGGCTGTACAAACAAAAGATGTTTCACTTCAAACAGCTTCTCGTGACCTTTGACACTAGCTCCATCACTTTTTTGACAAATAGAAACAAATTAAATAGAATTTGTACAACAAGAAAATTCAGTTGGTAAAAAAGAAGAAGCATTCAGTGAGTTCAGTACTCGTCACGTGTTTTCAAAACAGAGCTGCAGAGTCGACAACAGCAGAATGGCCACAACCCTCTAATCACTCAACCTCTCACTCCACACAAAGCCAGGAGTCACTCAGTGTCTGTGTCACTAGAAATTATTACCTGTGTGGTGACGTCCCTGCACAGAGCGTCAGCCTTTAATTTGGCAGGTCTCGTCTTATCAAGCACAGCTGACAGCCACTAAATTCACCGTGAAACTAGACGTCAGATTTCCTTTTTGACTTTTTATGAACGTTGCCACTTGTTATCCTGATATGTGGAACCTACTTTGTAAGTTCCACATATCAGGTCTGTCATGCCCCTGGGTCATGTGACCCAGTATTCTGAGTTCTTGTTTGTTATTCTTTTTAGTCTAGTTTCATTTCGGTTTATCTAGTTACATTCTGCCATGTTTCATGTCCAAGTTTTCTTTGTTTGTCAAGTTCAAGTCATGTCTGGATTTCCTTATGTTTCCTGTTTTATTTTGAAAGAGTTTTGTGTTTATTATGTTTAGTTTCA